CAAAGTTTCTGGTATAATGTAGCTGAGATGACATAGACAACGGGGCGCAGGTTCTGGTATAACGCAGCTGAAATGACATAGACAATGGGGCGGAGGTTCTAGTATAATGTAGCTGAGATGACATAGACAATGGGGCGGAGGTTCTAGTATAATGTAGCTGAGATGACATAGACAATGGAGCGGAGGTTCAAGTACAATGTAGCTGAGATGGCATAAACAATGAAGCTATTGATAGGCACGGAAGGTCGGAAACGATGGAAAATAGGTTCTTCTTTTACATTTTCTACTCTCGCCGCTATGGCTTGCGCAGTTTGATGCAATGAATGAAATTAAGGAATTTCAGTGAACAATTACCTGGGTTTGGGCAGCTGTTGGTTATGTGTTGATCATGGGCAATTATTGTCGGCTCGTGATGCTTTAACAATTCTCAATTCCCATCGGTTGGGTCACAATCTTACATTCAATGAAGCGCTATTTAAAGTTAAGCTCCTGACTGAATAATATTGTACATGTTCTGACTCAATTCTCTGAGTAGTAAACATTTATTCAATGTTGATTATTTTGTTAATTAGAGTTTACCTTAACCATCAATATTATGAGGCTTCGCCAACCTGCCTGTAATAGTAGTTATTTAATGGCTAAAATGTGAAATTTAATTCATTGTTTTGTTTTCAGACATCACTTCTACGAGAATCGGCATGTTAGGAGTTTGGGAGCACTTGTATTTTCTTGTACAAGACCCATACTATTAGTGATAATATTTGATAGTATTTCTCTCCGATTTTTTTTGCGAATTTCTTGTAAGATAAGGACGTTCGCTTCAGCCTCAGATCGAAATGTTGCTAGGCGATCTGGGACTGCGCCGAATCGCTGAAATGGCGAGCTATATTTTAGTGATATGAACGACGATGATAAGACATGACAGAGACTGCCTCTGGTCGCTGAGTTGACATCATCAAGACTGCCTCTGACGCTGAGTTGACATCACTGAGACAGTGCCTCTGACGCTGAGTTGACATCACTGAGACAGTGCCTCTGACGCTAAGTTGACATCACTGAGACAGTGCCTCTATCAAGACAGTGCCTCTGACGCTGAGTTCACATCACTGAGACAGTGCATCTGACGCTGAGTTGACATCACTGAGACAGTGCTACCGACGCTGAGTCGACAGTTGACTTGCTAAAAAGCCCAGACCTTTTTTAACAGCCTCCCCGATTACATCGTTGGCGCTCCAAGTATGAACGCGTTCAAGAACAGACTAGATAAATCTATGGAAAAATATATGTTCAGACTTGAAATGCCTAGCACCATATCGAACCCGGTGGAAGGCTAGTAGCAATTTCAAACTATCGTCAGTCAGGAAAAGATCCGGTCAAATGACACGATTTTAGATTTTCTGTGAACAAGGCACGAAAAGGAAAAGAATCGGCGACAGGCCACATCAGGCCTACACGTCAGCGCCGACATCACCATGTTATGTTATGTTAATAGAAATCGTGTTTGAGCACCATTTGTTAATGGGGCTGAGAGCTTTATTGAGACAAACCAGTTTTGAAGCTTGCATAATGGCAGCTGGCTTGGAGGCAGCTGGCACAATGGTTTAATTGTAGTACCCATAGTGTGGTATAGTACGTCGGTCGAAGGTGGTCGTAGTAGTTAGCCGTGTACCAGTAACTACTGCTCTCACTGGATTGGTAGTTGTGTAACTCACCCTGTATCATAGCAGGTCTACTTATTTTTATACTACTTATATTTGACGGCACACAAACTAGGCAAGGAAACCTGACCCCAAGCAAATGGCGGAACACATATGACGTCAATCGCAAATTCACTTGAAATTTAAAATCATAGAAAGTTCCACAAAAATTCGTCAAATATTTATAGAAAACGTTTTGGAGTCCAGTCCCATCCAAGTGACGATGGAGCTAGACTCCGAAACGTTTTCGTGAGTTTTTTGAAACGTGGATTTTTTTTCAAATCATCGACGTGGCTCGATCTTCCAACTTGACATCAACTAGCTACAGAATTTTTCACCAAAAAGTCGGATATGAGGCAGTTTTTATGGGCCGTAATGCTTAGAATAGAAAATCAGGAGACGCTTTATGATGGCTGGTCACTAGCTCAGATTATTTACATCGACTTTCATTCCTGCGCACCACTAGTGTCAGGTTACTTGTATTGACCATCATGTGCGCCACTAGTGTCAGGTTACTTGTATTGACAATCATGTGCACCACTATAGTGTCAGATTACTTGTATTGACCATCATGTGCGCCACTAGTGTCAGGTTACTTGTATTAACCATTATGCGCACCACTAGTTACGTTACTTGTATTGATCATCATGTGCACCACTAGTGCCAGGTTACTTGTATTGACCATTATGTGCACCACTAGTGAAGCTCAGAGTGTTGTGGCAATTTGTAGCTCAAGCCGGTTTCCATTGTGGATAACCGTCATCCCTTCACTATTCTCAACCCAAATAATAAACCCCTTCTAAATGAATATATATATTCCTTAGTGAATCTATAACAAAATAAAAATTTATGTCCACGCAAATGCACCAAACAGAAACTCTCATAATTACCTCCTAGCTCCGCAGGTATAGTGGATACAATTCTTTGTCACTACATAAACATTTGGAATTACGCCAATATTCTGATGTACTACAACTTTTCTTAAAGAAAAATAATAGACTGGTAGACTAAATCTGATATTTGATACGAACGTTTAAATTACTACTCGATACACTGCCGTGTTTGCCGGTGTAGGACTGCTTCGGGCTGGTATATTTTCGTCTTTTCACCTCCACCTTAAAATCGGAACGACACTTTTCACGAGCCGTCTAATTTAAACATTCATTTTTTTAGAATATTTCGAAAGGAAAGAATTTCGACTGCTCGTATCGTGTCTACCGAATCTGGGACCAATTGCACCTTCGTTGGTCGTGCTTTATTTAACATTGGAAGACTCCGCGTGACGGGCAACGAAACAAAACTGACAATCGGGCGAAGAATAAGCGCAATAATTATTGATGGCTGGCGATTAGGAAAATCGCAGACGCGCTGTGATGGGCAACAAATGCAAGCTCAACAATGCAGATCGCGATGATAAAAAATGTGCAAAGAAGAAAATTTCATTCAGATCCTTCTTCAAACGTGAACAATGTAGCTGCAGCTCCAGTAGTAGTAGTAGTAGCAGCAGCAGCAGCTTCAGCACCTCGGACTATAGCTCATGTGAAAACTGCTACTTGAAGGGAGCGTCCGACGATACTTACGGCTCCTGGCTTCAAAGAGGCGACCCAAGCATGGAGAGTGTTTCCCGTACAACTTCGAATCGCCGTTGCTGCTACTCAAAATTAACAACAAAGTTCCAAAAACCGTGTCAAAAGACGGCTGAGGTCAAAAGCGACTCTTCGTGCTATTCTGCATTATCAACTTCAATGGATTCATCGGATTCAACTAGCGATTACAAGGGAAATCAAAAAGCAAATTCCCGAAACTGTCGTAAAAAACGTCAATGTAAGCAACCTTGTTGTGTGCGTTGCGTGGACAACAGTGCCACGTACGCTGAATGGTGCCCTGATGCGCCCCTTTGCTTCATGGATGACAGCTGCCCGAAATAAATTACCGCAAGACAGACTTGCAAGAAGAAGATTAGGGCCACGGGATGTCCAGTGTATGATGGATATTTGACCCAGAACAACGGAAAGATTAATTGCGATGACAGTAGTAGCAGCAGCAGCAGCAGTTGCAGTTCCTCAACTGAGAGTGGTGACTGCGATCAAAGGAATGAAAATAAATAGGAAAAAAAGTTCGATAAGAAAGGATTTCTGAAGAATAAATGTGTGAATTTTGGACAACAACTGAAGCAAAGATTCTGCAAGGAGTGCAAATCGCCAGCGACTCCAGTCGACGACCAGCAGTGTAGAGCAAAGCCCAAGACTGATCAAGTAAAATGTGTGAATGAAAGTGTGCCGGAAAAAAGTTTTGCAGAGGCTGAGCAATGTCCGAAAAATAAAAAAGAAGCTCATGGGTAACCTAGTGTGCAACGTCACAGGAATAACGGTGAAGAGAAACGAACGGATCGTATGCACATGGCAGCCATGTACAACTAATGGAAAATGTGAGGCAATGTGCGGTGTCGACAAACTACTGTGTGTTAGACATTTTACTGGACGCTGCGAAAATAACTGATATGATTGTCATATATGTTCAATTTTTGTCTCATCAAAACATGATTTAATGAGGACTCGACATTTTATTTTTAGCTATGCTTCTAAAAGAGTTTTATAAAAATTTAAACTAGCCTAAACTTGATTTGGTTTAGGCAGAATGAGGTGATATTTGCTTGTTGAACAACAATGAAATTGACTGTATTTAAAAAAATGGAATTCGTTGGTTATAATATTGTCTATAAATTTTCAAATCAACATATGCCTTCACAGTAGGTTTCGCTTTGGAGTTTAGATTTACACGTGATTGAGCATTTTTTCGATTTGCTTTTGATTAAAAATATTGTTACACTAAGAAAATCTAATAAATTTCTTTTTCCGTTTAAATTTAACATTGATCATTGTCCCCACGTTTAAAGTAATTATTCTTAACATCATTCACATAGTCACCCTAATCATCTTTATTCATCTCTATTTAAAACGCACCCATTCTCTCATTTGTATCACCATACTTCACCACCTTTATAATCTCCATTGCGCAAACTCTAGTGACCATTATGTATTGACACGCCCCCCCCGTCGCCATGACAGCTCTTCATCACCCAATAACGCTCATCATGATCAACACGCACCGCTTCATCCATAACCTCAACTTGGGATAAAAAAATGAAGATCCGTAATAAATAAATTCATCAAGCTCTTTATGAAATTGCATTCAGACCTCTTAGTAGGCTAGCAGGGTAATCAATTAGGATTTATTAGAATCTGCTTATAAGTTCGAATTTCTTGAAATATCATGTGACATGAATGAATACGCTGTAAAGTCGGAAGCTATCAGAACGCTAAACTAAATCAAATAATTCGAAATTATTACAGAACGGAATTACAGTTAGTCGTGGACTCCGTTCTCCAGGAAATCTACGTCGGTCCACCGTCCATGCCTTGTTAGAATTTGATGCTCATGCACCGTGTGGCGTGTCCCGCGATAGTAATTTGCGTAATACCTTTTACGTAAATAGGAGCGTAAGTTTAATTGTATTTATTCAGTTAAAGTCTCTGTACAGTGTCGATATAAACGAAACTTTATGGTTGTGTTATTACATCGATAAATAATGTCAGACACTGAGACCTCAAAGAAAAGACCTTGTGAGGATGCTGAAGAAGGTGATGAATGGGTCGGACCAAAACCTGAAGAAGCTGCCTCTGCTGCGACAAAGAAGAAGAAAAGAAAAGGTAATTTTGTTTTCCATTCAACTTTCATCAGTTGAAAAATTTTAGGAATTTTTTATGTATTCCAGGCCCAGGGTCAGGTTATATATAATAAGTGTTATTTTTTACCTGAATGAGCAAAATTTTTATCTTGATGATGTAGGTACAGTATACATAGCCTAGGCTAACTTGATAGTTGACCTCTTTCTTCCACTGTGGTTACTGGTTAGTGCATAGCCTACTAATATGGTCAATGGTAGCCAATTGGTGGCCCAAAATTGTCATTGCCAATTAAGCAAAAAAGAAGAGGCAATCCACAATTTGCAAAGCCAGGGTATGAAATCTTGTGCCTCAACTGTCTTGTATTTTTGTTTCAATTGTTTGATTGAAAAAATCCCAGCAAACATGTCATTTCATAAAATTTTCAACTTCCGCAATGCAATCCACATTAGGGTAAACGCGGTATATTCCGACACATTAAGGACGCATCGAGAAATGAAAAACTATATAAAAATAACCATATGCGTTACTCGAGTTCTGTTTGCTTTATGTGACTCGCAAAACACCGTACTACGCGCCAGGGTGACAATCTAATTTTTTCCCTAGCCTCTGTTTAGACCCGCTCACAAAATAAATTGTACCTACGTTCATATTTTTCATTCAATTTCCTGGGGCCTAATATAATAGTTTATTGCTCACAAATAACAGTTTATAACTTCATTTTTTCAATCTTTACCATTTTATTTAAAAAATTTATTGTCACATACCAAAAAGCGTAATGTAAACACAATGGTTCACTGCAATCACTTAGCTCGCACTGCAGCCGCTGCTGTCCGCGTCACTTATAAACAATAAATGCAAAAAGGAACATCAACACTAATTTGCGGACTTCGATTCAGCTGCTTAAATAAAAAAATACATAAAATAAATATTTTTTGAAAGACAACATTGCTAATTTATTAATAATTTATAACGAAAAGATAGGCTTCTAATCATGAAATTTTTCCCTATTTGTCTCACTAATTCAATTCTTTTGCGATTGTGATCAAATTTTTGGTCAAGCCATTTCATAAGTGAATCTATTTAACCAGCATTCCCAACTCAATATTATGTTTTAAAGAAAAGTAAAACTAGAGATTTTATTTTATAAGAAATAATGTTGTCCACTCGCACTGTAAAATATGTATAACTTCTATATGGTTGTCAGCTGCATTTAAACTTCAACGAGCTCTGTGCAACACGTCCGTCTCTGACAAATTTACGGCCAGACTTGCGGCAGGTGTCAAAATTCAGTGAGCATGGAATATCTCCCAAAGCAATGAATGTAGCTTGATGAAATTGGTACACGTATTCATTAGAACCTAACGGTCATGTTTAGCTTGTTAAAATATTTTGAATTTCACCTTCATCCATAAGTTATATGACAACACGTGCCAAAATTTGCAGTGAGCATGACATTTCCTCTATACTACTGTACAGATTTGATTATAGAAACTTGACCTTCCAACGGTGATGTTTAGCGTGTAAAAAATTTTTCGATTTCACCTTCATTTGCAAGTTATACAGATATATAAAGAAATCACCAGCATTTCTCAGGCCGATTTTCAACCTTGCATTGGCCATGAGCCGTATACGTAAAGCCGTATAACTCGCAAACAAAGACTTTTAATTAACAACTATTAAGCTTTTAATTAAGCAAATTTGAATTTTTGTACATAGCTTGGAACGATCTGTGTGTGTCCAATTCAAGTTGTGACGGTATTAGTTTTCATGTGTCTAAATTCATTTCTCAATTTATTGAATTTAATCATCTATTAATTTATTTACCACTTGAAATCAGCAAATACAAGTATACTTAAAGGATTCCTAATATATGCACAGACGTATTTAAAAGTCTCAAACCATAATATTCTTCCTATACAAACAGTTATTCACTATTTGGTAGAGCAAGGTCAACTGTTAAATTTGACACATTTTTCGATGATCTCACTGGGTAGCGTGCATTGTCTCTCTTTGGATCTCAATATTTTCCTGCTAGATGGCCAAGACCTAGTGTTTTGGCAGTAGTTTGACGCACAAATGTATGACATCACCATTTTAACCATCAACGAACGCATGGAACTAAAACAAAGCTTAATATAAAGGAAAAACTAGAGAGGTGACGGAATTACCCACGATGTCGGAATATACCGCATTTACCCTACTTTACCGTTCCTGTCAAAATATCCTGCAAAGTGTAATCATCGTAGTAATGATAACAAGTCAACCTAAACGTCACGTCAGAGCGGACTGAGCACTAAGGCTCTGAGTGGTCAGACAACGACAGACTGCATTTATACATGTTCAGGTTACAGTAAAGACAATTGACAAATGTTATTGTTGCCATTTGACTGATTTAGGATAAAATTAGATATTTTGAGTAACATGTGTAAGGACTTTGTAAATAAATTTGCGGCTCATAAATGGCTTTTCATGGCCAAAATATGAAATTGACAACTGGAAAAAATGGAATCAAGTCTTAAGGAAATGGGAAAAATGGATTCACGGCTGACAAATCCATAAAACCACAGCTTGAAAAATTCAGTCGCTGCTTGCCAAGTAGATATATTCCATGCCTGCACTCATCGGTCATTGCAACTGATTTCCGGACAAGCTTCACTGCATCCTGATCCATCCTACATACTGGATCGGCCATCGCAACTGATTTCCGGACAAACTTCACTGCATCCTGATCCATCCTACATACTGGAAAGTGGAAACCTTACTGTGTGCGCTTGTGGCCTTACAGATTTTCAAATATTTTCTAAATAGTTGGCTGAAGACTGGCAAATATCTAATGCAATAATTTCAATCCAAATGTGTTGGCAAAAGCTTTTGAAGGCGTAAATTTTGCTGCTGATGCATTGTCAAAGATCTTGCAATATTCACAGACTTTCTGCACCCTGGTTTCATAGGAGGTACCGAGGTAGTAGCACTGTGGCAGGGAAAGTTATAGGAGAAGTAGCAGCTCACTCAGTTTAATTATTCAATCCCTGCCCTGTGCCTGTGAGGCTGTGGGCTGTGGTGGGTTATCATAGGAATTTGAAAAAAAAATTAAATGTTTTTTAAATCTTAGTCCCCTTACTTTCTTGCCTAACCATCTAACTTCAACTTGGCTTCAAGTTCCAAACAATTACAAATTTACAAGCCTAACTGGAAATTGGGCAGAAAAAATCTGTTAACCAGATTAGAATTCCCATGAATCAGAGTCTGACCAATTAAAAATTTAAATTTTCTCTCAATGCTCTTGATTTTCTTGCAATTTTCTCCTATCATAATTGCCTTGCCCTAAATGGCTAAGTTGATACCGTCAACCGGGGCTACTCGGGACAGGTGGGGCTACTCGGGACAGGCCTATGACACGGCGTAAAACTGTTGTAGTAGCAAAACTAATTGGAATATCGCAAAACTAAAAATAGTGGCGTAAATGTCAATATTTTTCCCATCTATGTAGAATAAAAGAAGTTCAAAAATACTACATTTACTAGCTTTGAATAATTCCTGAAAAANGTGTGACAGACCAAATAAACCGCTTGCTTGCAGTCAAGATTAAAATTTTCCTACTTATTACTAAAATCTCACAGCTCCTAAGTGCCAAATTTTTAGTACATTTGGGATCTTATAGCCCAATCTTGCAGTTTTGTTAATAGTTAGATGGCAGGTACCATGCATATATTGGGAATCTCATGGTTCTAAAAATAGCGGAATAGCTCTATTTGCACTCGAAAGGTAGATACATATATTTTGAATATAGGCATATTTTTGCAATGGTTAATAAAAAATTTTGATGTTGAATGTTTTTCTAAATGAATTTATGGTTGGGTGTAAAATTTAATAGTTGTGCAAAGGTTACACATTGGTTTATAAATTTCCAGATAACTCGTTATAAAAGCAACAATTACTGAAAAAACATTGAGTTTGAAAATGCTGAAATGTATACCTATATAATTATTGTAGGTATCTATCTAATTATTACACAAGACAGGGCAAACATAACGCCCATCAAATGCTGCAAGAAAATACTTATATCTACATCAAATTGACATTATAGAACATCAGGAAGTCATAGTAATGTACCTATTTAAGCTTGATAACATTGTTTTCATTCTATTTTTCATTTATCTTTACAGTATTGCCTCATGAAAATCTCTACCTGAACAACTTGCCCTCTGCTGAATATTATGAGAAGAGTTATATGCATCGCGATGTTGTGACTCATGTTATTGTCACCAAGTAAGTTAATGTTTTTAGTTTGATGTGAATGTTTTTTTATTCTTTCAAACATGGATGCCAGTATATTAAGTTTCCAGCTTGCTCCTATTGAAAGATATGCGTAGTAGAATTTAGGTTTCTCGCTCAACTAAATTTTCTACTGAAATGTATTCCATGTCAAGTAAAGTTTTCCTAGCTCCTTGTCTTCCCTCAGAACAGATTTCATCATCACAGGGTCCCAGGATGGTTTTATCAAGTTTTGGAAGAAGCTTGAAGTTGGCATAGAGTTTGTGAAAGTTTTCCGCTGCCATCTCTGTCCTCTGAAGTGCCTGGTGCACAACTGCAACGGCAGCAGAGCCGCCTCCATGGGAGAAGATGGAGCTCTCAAAATCTTTGATGTCATCAATTTTGGTAAGAAATTCATCCTTTAATATTCATGTTCTATAATACCAAGCATATTGTTTACATTAAGATAAATCTATGATTGGAGAAATACTAGTTGATTTATTCTTATAATAATTATATAGACATTTTGATGTTTTCTGCAGTCATGCTTTTCACTTATTTAAGTTGTAAACATTTTTTATCTAATAGTAAAACCCTAAATTTTCCTGATGGTCACAAACAAGCAAGTTGCTCTCTGAAATAGAATTTAATTTAAAATTGAGACCTAACTCTAATGTATTGCTTGTTTTACCCAGACATGATCAACATGCTCAAGCTGGACTTCGCTCCATCCACGTGTGAATTTATCCACGGAAGCAGCAACCCTGACAGCACCATTGCTGTGGGGGACACAGCGTCACCCACCATCAGGATATATGATGCTCATGGCAACTCCATCACCCCCCTCCATGAGTTACACCTGCACACCCAGCCTGTCACCCTCATGAAGGTAATGACACCTACACACCCAGCCTGTCACCCTCATGAAGGTAATGACACCTACACACCCAGCCTGTCACCCTCATGAAGGTAATGACACCTNGCTTCTTACTCGTACGTACATGTTCAAAGACGGCGCTATCTTCAAGGCACTAACTATACAGATGTCCGAGAACGATTCATCGCAGGTAGCATTTGGCGAGGCACAAGTTCGTCTAAGGTCTTTGTATGCTCTAGTCAAATTTTATGTCAATGAATGGCAATATTGATGTGAGGAAGAATCGAAGATACAATATTTCATTAATAGGAATCTTATTTAGGGCAAATGCTGAGATATTTCTATCAATTCAAAATTAGTATTACCCGATGTTTTTTCTATTTATTTGTATTATTTGAACTTTATTTTGATCGAAGTGCTTAGATGAATTTGAAGCATGAGTTTCCTTTATGTACCAAATTTATTTGTCATCTATTTGCATAGAAGTGTTTTCTTACTTAACTTCAAACTTCAATCCAGGAAACAAGCTGATACACTTTTATTCTTCAGGGGAGTCAGCCAGTGCATCTAGCCAACTGCTGTGTCTAGTCTACTGCTGTGCCACTGGAACAAATCTACAGCTGTGTCTAGTCTACTGCTGTGCCACTGGAACAAATCTACAGCTGTGCCACAAGTCTACTGCTGTGAAACAAGTCTACTGCCTGTCTCTTATACACATCTAGATGTGTATAAGAGACAGGTGATACTTATACTTAAATATATATCTATATATAACGAACAACATCTTTATTTTGATTCAAATATATTTTTTTAAATTTGCGATGGGCATACAGTGCATTGGTGCGCCTTACATGTACATCAAGCGATGCCATCTCCGTTGGACAACACCTTTATTTGGTGGCGGTATCAAGGAGACTGCAGTGAATATAGCAGCAATTAAATGATAAGAAAAAGATCTGCCATGTCTATGGTTACACGTCGATGATGCAAGAGTAATTACGTGCTGGTGCTGGCCATTACATTAGTAATATCAATGCATCACCTTAAAATCATTAAACCACCCACCCCCTCAATATACGTTTACATAAACAGCAGATGCAATCCTATCTCAAGCAAAATAGATTACCTTGTATTTCTTCAATTACATTATTTTCATGCGCCGTGAAAAAGCCCGTGATATATTTTCATGTGCCGTGATTGAATTTCGTGCGTCGTGATATATTTTCATACGCCATGATATATTTTCTTACGCCGTGACATAATTTAATGCGCTGTGGTATGTTTTCATGCGCCGTGATCCATTTTCATATTGAATGCGTTCATACTTCGTTATATTATGAAGGCATTGCCGTGTGCAGTACAACGCCGTGTACGACACGGTAATATCGTGCGACACGGCCGGACTGCTGGAGTACTGGCGGGGGTCAGAGGGGGGCTACGCCGCCCCCTCATGCGTACAGTTCACCTCCAAGCTGGACACAGACCTCTTCGAGTTTGTTAAGCTCAAGCGGCCCCCTCACGCCCTTTGTGTCGCGCCCTCAGGACTGCAGTTCGCCACACTCGCCCATGACAGGAAGGTGTGTATAGTTATTAGTTTGTTTTTATTATTATTAATATTATTTAATAGTAAGTAGCGATAAACTTCAAGCTATTTTTATTATTTGATTTTTGAATATTTAGCCATTTAGCATTATTTGTTTCATCTGTAAATTTTTTTTTAGATTTTGTGTTCAGTAGGAATGAAAGAAAACTTATGAAGGAGCTATTATTGTGTGAACAACCTCTGTCCTTACAAATAAATGAGTATTTATATGTAATTTAGGTATATGTAGTAATTTATATGTAATTAAAGTATTTATATGGAATATATTCTATTAACTTGTGATGAAAAATGATGGATTTTAATATAACATTTTAATTTTCTCAATTTATCATGTTAGAATTAATTAGCACTGCTTTAAGAGAATCGGTATCATTTTCGTCTTAAATTGTGGGAAGTTTTATGCCCTATGGCTTAGCTTTTCGATGTCGTACCGACATAAGTTTCAACTTGATTTAAGTTTAGCAGATCCGTATGTTCAAGTTCATCCATGTCAGAGCAACATAAGTTTCAACTTGATCCATGTTTGAGCAGATCCGAGTGTTCAAGTTCCTGACGGGGAAGTTGACGCGCGTGTTTNTGGACACGGACCTCTTCGAGTTTGTTAAGCTCAAGCGGCCCCCTCACGCCCTTTGTGTCGCGCCCTCAGGACTGCAGTTCGCCACACTCGCTCATGACAGGAAGGTGTGTTTAATTATTTGTTTGTTTTTATTATTTAGTTAGTTTACCATTATATGTCACCATGAGATAAGTTTCAACTTGATCCATGTTTGAGCAGATCCGAGTGTTCAAGTTCCTGACGGGGAAGTTGACACGCGTGTTTGACGAGAGTCTGGAGCAGGTAATGGAGCTCCAGCAGCGCAAACCTCAGGTGCCCAACATGGAGTTTGGCAGGCGGTCAGTGGGTGTCTGTATTAAATAGGTTTAAATGTTTTGTGCCTTTCATTCAAATATTGATTTAATATTATGTTTGTTTCCCCATAAGATGAACGTTTGCCTCCAATATATGAACGTTTATTTCACGCCATATGACAGTTTGCTTCCTGCAATCTGAATGAAGAATTTGTTTGATGATACAACATGTAACATCTTCAATATTAAGTCGACATTGACTAATGTTTGATTACTTTACAGTTTGGCAGTAGAGCGAGAGGTTGAGAAGAGCGGTTACCTCGGTAACCTGGTGTACGACAGCAGCGGTTACCTGCTGCTGTACCCCACGCTGCTGGGCATCAAGGTGCTCAACCTGCATACCAACCGCCTCCTGCGCACCATAGCCCGTCCTGAGAACTTCAGGGCACTGCACTTAGCTCTGTTCCAGGTACTCAGAACTTCAGGGCACTGCACATAGCTCTGTTCCAGGTACTCAGAACTTCAGGGCACTGCACATAGCTCTGTTCCAGGTACTCAGAACTTCAGGGCACTGCACATAGCTCTGTTCCAGGTACTCAGAACTTCAGGGCACTGCACATAGCTCTGTTCCAGGTACTCAGAACTTCAGGGCNATCGAGCAGGAGGCGGCGGACAACCCTAACCTGGAGCAGGACCTGCCCGACCCCACGCTCTTCGTGACCGCCTTCAAGAAGTCCCGTTTTTACCTCTTCACCTGCCGGGACGCTGCCAACGCCCGGGCCACCGACCCAGACAGGGACGTGTTCAACGAACGGCCCAGCAAAGAGGACGTCATCGCCGCCATTGATGACTCGGGTCAGCCTTGCATGGGTTCTGTGAAGCTTTTTTTATAACATTAAATGGCTTTTTTATTCCATTAAGTGCAGCCACTCTGCCTTGTATGGGTTTTGTGTATCAGAAATAGCTCTTTTTGGTCCTTCAATTGGTATTTTTATTACATTAAGTAGTACAGATTAAATAATTCGCCATGTTTGAGAAGTTTCTACAAGCGAATCAAGAAAAAAAGTTGAGAATCGGCGACAGGGCTGGTTACTTTATATGCATTAGTATATCTGTAGATATAGGAGTCTCCAATGCAGGGATGCCTGAAAAACACATGTAAATTGTTTTTCTCATTCATTAAATGAGGACTTAGTTTAACTTAAAATTCGTGTATGGGTTATTCTGCAATGTACAAACTTGTATATTTTATTCCATTAAGTGGCTTTTTTTATTCCATTAAGTAGCTGTTTTATTCTATTAAGTGGCTTTTTATTCCATTAACTGGCTTTTTTTTTATTCTATTGGGTGGCTTTTTTATTCCATTAAATGGCTTTTTTATTCCATCAAGTGCTGCCACTCAGCCTTCATGGGTTTTGTGGATCAGAAATAGCTCTTTTTATTCCAGTACGTGGCTTTTTTATTCCATTAAGTGGCTTTTTTATTCCACTAAGTGGCTTCTTTATTCCATTAATTGGCTTTTTTATTCCATTAATTGTTTTTTTTATTCCATTAAGTGGTACTGATTAAAAAATCCGCCATGTTCGAGAAGTTTCTACAAACGAATCAAGAAAAAAAGTTAAAAATCGGCGACAGGGCCAACATGGCCTAATGATAAACTGATAACATTATATGCATTAGTATATCTTTAGATATAGGAGGCTGCAATGCAAGGATGCTTGGGAACACATGTAAATCGCTTACATTAGTCGTTTCGAGCCAGTCGCATTAGAAGTCCTCCTCATTCATTAGAGGAGGACTTAGTTTAACTTGAAACTCGTGTGTGGGTTAATCTGCAATGTACATACTTGTACGGCAAAGGCAGCTTCGTGTTTTGTACTGGGAACGTTCCCCTTCCCCCTAACCTGTTCCAAAATCTAATAACCGCAATCAGACTGCAGAATTTTGCAACGTTATTATTGTGTTTGGTGTAGGTACATCACTTGCACCTACGCAGGCAAACAAGGGTTGAAGATGTACTGTATAAAACTCCAACACCTGATAAGTTATATCTAGAGCTTATTTTGCTAGACGATCCTTGTTCACAAACCTGTCAAAAATAACCTGTCTGAAGTTTCCTGTTTAATATCGCCTTTTTAAAAGTTCTTAGCCGACAAGTTTTCACAGCGTAGATTTCTCGTAGATTTCCTTCATCATCGAAACGTTTCCCCTGCAGATGGACAACGCATCTTCGAGACGGCGACGCTGCACACGTCGCTGGGGGACATCCACCTGAAGCTCTTCCTCAAGGAGTGTCCCAAGACCGTCGAGAACTTCTGCGTGCACGCGCGTAACGGCTACTACAACGGCCACGTCTTCCACCGCGTCATACGACAGTTTATGATCCAGACGGGCGACCCGCAGGGTAATATATCTAATTGTTTCGCTCTACCTAAACTCCAGTACGTCCTACGTGCGTCTCCTGCATATACGCGGGTAGGTGATTTGGAGCGGTTCGATGTGGTGTTGGTTTCTGCCCTCTCGACCATCACCAATGTCAGCTTCGAGCGCGAATCTCTTGAACAAGCTGTGTTGCCGGTCCGGCTGGGAGGCCTGGGTATCCGTATGTCAAAGGACATCGCGCTCCCTGCGTTCATATCGTCACTCCACTCCGTCCGTGGCCTAGTTGATGCTGATGATCATTGACATGAAACCATTCCCTGCTTTTAATTAATAAAATCAATTCTTTTTTTTTTTGTTGGAATGGTGAGTGTGGGAGGCCTTTATTTAAAAAAAAATATATATCTAAAAAGTATATGTTATACCTATATAAAGTATATCTTATACCTATTTAAAGTATATGTTAAACCTATAAAAAGTATATGTTATACCTATAAAAAGTATATCTTGTACCTATTTAAAGTATATGTTATACCTATAAAAAGTATATCTTATACCTATTAAAGTATATGTTATACCTATAAAAAGTATATCTTATACCTATTTAAAGTATATCTTATACCTATATAAAGTATATATTATACCTTTTTAAAGAATATGTTATACCTATAAAAAGTATATGTTATACATTTATAAAAAACTATTCGAACATTAGAATAAACTCTGCTATTCAGGTCATAAGCCTTGAAGATATACACCCTAGGGTGCTCCCACCCACTTTTTTGCCCCTACAGTAACGGGTGTGGGGGTGACCTCTTACCTCCTAGCGTCCCATAATCTTCCCTCGCATCCCCAACAGGGATGTATGTGGGGGTTGAGCACTCCTCCCCTCATGCCCCCTAATTTTCCATTAAATTTCCCCCACAGGGATGTATGTGGGGTAACCTCTTACCTCCTGGTCCCCCATAATCTCCCATCATCTCCCCCACAGGGACGGGGAGACACCTGACCAATGTACTCCTGGTCCCCCATAATCTCCCATTATCTCCCCCACAGGGACGGGTGTGGGGGGTGAAAGCATATGGGGAGGGGAGTTTGAAGACGAGTTCCACCCATCTCTTCGTCACGACCGCCCCTACACCGTCAGCATGGCCAACGCCGGGCCCAACTCCAACGGCTCCCAGTTCTTCATAACGCTCGTGCCCACGGTGCGTTGCTTTCCTTGCCCCAATCGACAATCAATATACCATTTGTACATATATTCTTTTTTTCCATTCATAATTTATTGCTATCCTTGCCCTAATTGACAATATACCATGTGTACATATGTAGAAATATCCATTTTTTTCCATTCATAATTTGTCTCCATGTATGTTTCTCAGTCCCATGTACATGTCCTTTCTCGATTTATACTTTTTATCCCGTATAATTTTCACAATTCCATGTATATCTCCCATTATTATTTACAATCATTGTCCCACACATGTTTTCCCGAACTAATATACATTTTATTTCATTTGTTTATCGCATAACCTGCTAACGGCCTGCACTCCTACCTTACCTAATGACCTGTCAATATTGATATTCAATAAATTCTTTGTGTCACTTCTTCATCGTAAAGGAACCTGCCACAGTAAAAGAAGCACTGCTTTATATACACAATGCTAAACTACCTGCTACTATATAGCACCTCCAGCATGTAATCCTAATTCATGTACATCTGTACGTGTAACCTAACTAATGTGCACCTGACCAATGTACACCTGCCCAATGTACACCTGACCAATGTACACCTGACTAATGTACACCTGACTAATGTACACCTGCCCAATGTAACCTGACTAATGTACACCTGACTAATGTACACCTGCCCAATGTACACCTGACCAATGTACACCTGACCAATGTACACCTGACCAATGTACACCTGACCAATGTACACCTGCCCAATGTACACTTGACCAATGTACACTTGACCAATGTACACCTGACAATGTACACCTGACAATGTACACCTGACAATGTGCACCTGACCAATGTACACCTG